AAATAGGGTTATAAGTAGGGTAACTATACTCATCGCCCATATTAGGGGACGAACAACCCCCACTTATAGCTACTCATGAACTTCCAAGTACTGGTTCCTTCAAGAGGACTTTGGGGCTTTGGATGTAGGGCTTTGGGGGTTTGAGCGTCTTTTGGCAACGGATGGAGGGGTTGCTTTGTCTCCCGCCGACTTTGTGTGGTACTACCTTCCTCAAGAACCACGTATGGCCTCAACTGATACAACTCAAGTGGCCAGGGCATGGTTACAAAAACATTGCCGCAACTTCTCCGTGCTTCTTCAGGTGTGAAACAAGTGAAACGAAGAATGCTACAAAAAACGACCATCCTGCAGCGCATTTTCCTGGATGGCAACACCGCAACCCTAAGTTCATGACATGAGCGCATCTTCGAAGGACCCGGCTTCGCCGGGAGCGTTGAGGACCTCAGAGAGGGGCAGAGGAGCGTGGCTTTGGAAGCGAATTGGTGCCCTGATGAGCTGTCACCGGCTTGCGGATTGAGGATTTAGGGTTTGGGGTTGCGGAATCATGTGTCAGGGCTTTTATGATTTCCGGATCAATGCTAAGGACATAAGCTGTTCGGCCTCAGGATTGGATCCTCCCTTCCCAACTGACAGATCTTTACGGGGCCACTCGGGCTCATGCAGTAAACCCATACACACGTTCCAAAGCACAAAGCCTGCCGGTTGTGCAGCGACCTAGCTCCGCCTCACCTGTTTCTATCTACCTCTACTCCTTGCACGGGCATTCTACTCTATGGCACCTTGTACTCAAACTCCCCTGTATGGGACCTGACCTGAAATTCAAAAGCTAGGCTGCTCCCGACTTGCGGCGCTTCTTCGCCTCGCTGGCGCGCACCTCTACGATGCAAACGACCAACGGTTGCCATTCGAAGGCTGTTGGGATCCGGTTTAGGGTCTAGGGTTTAGGGTTTAGGGTTTAGGGTTTAGGGTTTAGGGTTTAGGGTTTAGGGTAGGCTGTTGGGACCCCATGAAAACGCCATAATGCTGTTTTTGCGGCAGGCCTCTGTCTCTATGCCTGCGTGCCATGCTCCACATCAGCCATGACTGACGCTCCGGGCATACTGCCAGGACGCATCACGCTCAGACCGTTTCAAGGGCCTCAAGAGATGTGCGCGTTTCTGTATATACATCCGCCGCACCCTTAGTACCCTCCTTCCACAGCATACGCGTACCTGCTGCCTCTAAAAGGCTGCTTCGGGGGGCCTTCTTTAAGGGTTCCTTGATGGGAATTCCCCTGTGTGGCATGCCAAGCTTCTGAGACAGATTCTGGGAGTTTTCGAGTTTGGCTGCAGGCCTAAAAGCGATTTGACAGGGGAAGAGGTGTTAGAAATGAGGGGCCCGGCGCCGCAGCACGTTATGCTGCACGCCTAAGACCCAGCAAAAACCCTAACAACAAGCAGCACAAGCTATAAAGCCCCAAGGACCAAACACAGAAGTTATAGCAAAACAGAAAAAGTGCTCATAAACTCGACATTGCTCATAAAACTTGAAAAACACTCATGAATAGCATTATAGCATTATGCTCACAAAAACAGTCGCGGCAGCACCTTGGAGGCCGTTCGCTTGGCCGCCTCGGCCTGAACGTTCTCCACGTCGTTGGACTTCTCCTCCGCCGGCTCCTGAGAAAAAAAAGGCTTTTTGAGGCTTAAGTTTAGGGTTTTTTTGAACAACCCTTTTTCCATCCTGCAGCAGTCTGATAAGTTTGGGGTTTAGGGTTTAGGGTATTTTAGGGTTTGGAAAGTTTGGGGTTGGGGTTTGGGCTCTAATAAGTCGGACTCTCCAGAGGCAGGGCTCAGGGTTCAGAATGCAGGGAGGAAGTATGGAAGAAGGTAGCGAAACAAGAGCGTCAGTCGGGCACCTCAAAAACGCCATAGCGCCGAAGGGGCATGATGATAGTAACTGAGCATTCTAACAGTTCTAACAGCTCGTAGTACCAGCTATAGAAATAGCAGAATAGAAGTAAGGAGCAGCATTAGCGGCAGCAGTGGCAGCGATGGCAGCTGCCGTCATCGTCGCAGCATAAATCGTACATGTTGGTACAGTACTCTTGCTCCAGAGCGGCATCTGTCCAGTCTTCGTGTGCTCACGCACAACTGCAGAATCCTACAGTAACGGCCGCTCGTGAGAAGCGGTACCTTCGGCTGGCAAAGCATGACAAGGACCCACCCAGTTGTGCTCCAAGCCACGATGACAAGACGACCTCAGCTTATTTCGTCTTTTTCGAGGGTCTTAGGTTGGGATTCCAAAAGCTTTTGAGCTTGAGCTAAGTGTGCTTCGGCATAACGAAGGCTTTGCACGTCTTTCGTGAAGCGAATCGCCAAAATAGCAAGCGTTGCCCATGACCAAAGACTTCATGGCTCGACTACCGAAAAAAGAACGAATAATTGAGTCGATAGGGGAATGTTGGGGCCAGGCAATAGAATTTCAGAATGCTGTGGTTGAGCGACAGACAGCACTTCATGCTCTGTGGATTTTCTGAATTCTCAGCTTGGTGGGTTGAGGCTCGATGCTTGGCTCCACAGCCTCGGCGCCCCGATCTAATCGGGTTTCGGGTTCCGGCGCTTTGGGTTTGCATCCATGAAGGTCTCACGCTAAGGGCGGCATTCAGAGCAGATCTCGTGGGGGCTGAAGACCCCTCTCTCGCTGGACGCCCGAAAGACGATGGGGCTGAGAACCCTAGACCCTGAACCCCGCAACCTCAGTTTCTACAAGCAAAGGGGATTTGGGAGAAGCATCTGGGCCCAGCGACGGCCGTAAAGATGGCTGTGCTGCAGCGCCTCACAGTTGATGTTTCGGCGGCGCAGGCTTCGGGACGGAACACAAGCTGGAGAACTGAAAACGCACTTCTCCCAGCACTTGGGGTGGCTTCTGTAGGGATGTCCCGCAACAAGCACAGCCTCTAGTGTACTGACCTTTGGGCACCAGCTCCTCATTATTGTAAAATCTTCGTAAAATCTTCAAGGAAGCACTCCCGGCTACAAAACAATATGATATAGCATAGCATAGTCTAGTCTAGAAACTAGTGTCTAGTGTAGTATGGTATAGCATTAGTATCTACTCTACTTGTAGTATAATATAGTCTAGTACAGTCTAATCTAGAATAGTCTAGTATTGTCTAGTATAGTACAGTGTAGTATAGTCTAGCCTAGTATAGCATGGCACAGCAGAGCATAGGATAGGACAGTGTGGTATAGTATATGCCCCCGCCCCCCGCTTCGTGTCATCGGGTTCCCGGAGGGACCTCGAAAGCGGCGGCGGCCTCGCCCCGCGAGGCGAAGTCGATGAAAGCGAAGCCTGGCATGGAGCAGGGCCCGTACGGATTCCTGTACCCAGAGAACCCAATACCCCTTAATTAAGGAATATACCTTAAACTATAGGGACCCTAATATTAAGATTTAAGGCATATTCCTTAATTAAGGGGTATTGGGTTCTCTGGGATTAGGGTTCCTTTTAAAATGGGGTCCTGTAGGGCCATCATCGAGATATGGTAGGGAAGCTGTACTTCAATCTCGTGATGGGAGGGTAATTCTACGGGAAGAAGCCTATGAGAACCTCACGGTAACCCTATGACTACCTCTATACTGTAGTGGCCCTAGAGTAACCCTAAAAGAACCCTAGAACCTCGCGAAAGCCGAGGTCAATGTTCGGACAGCCCAGTACCCAAACTTCCTCCCTTTTGGCATGCAGCCACGGACGAGGCCGAGCTAGATCCGCACTCTGCCCCCGAGGCCGTCTCTTAACAGAGGTCTGAAAATCTGCATAGAAAGGAATGAGTGATAACCTCAACATCAAGAGCAAGCATCCTGCAACCGGATCTCCAAGAGCCGTTGCATCTTCTAACGCCTATCGCCAGCTCCTCAAGCCCAAACCTGAGCTCTAAGTCCCGTCTCCAAAATCAAACGCCCCGTTGCCCAAACTCGAGTCAAGAGCTTGCTGCCAGCTCATCTGGTGCTTTGTTTCGAGTCTGTTTCGGGCGCTGGAAAAGGTAAAGAAGTCTGTGCGGCTTCAAAGCCGCAACAGAAGCAGCAAGCTTTTACTCAGAGCGATTTGAGAGTCGCAACAACGGTGGCATCAGACGTGACCAGTCGCGGTTGAGGGGGTGAGACAGAGGAGCAAGTCACCCAAAAACAGATTGCAGGAAGAAGTCTGATCTTTCACCCAAGAAGCGGAATAGATCCTCAATCCAAGCACAGACTCACCCCAGGTCACACAGACACCCTTGACACTGCAACTAAACCCTAAACCCTAAACCCTAAACCCCACAACCCTAAACATCCCAATAAGAGACACCTCGGTGGCCCGAGTAGTCGGACTTCTTCGGCAGCCGACAGGAGGTCACCGTGCCGTAAGCACCAAAGAGCTGGGAGAGCTCTTTCCCTTAGGGGGCCGGGAAGGGTTTAGGGTTTAGGGTTTAGGGTTTAGGGTTTAGGGTGAATGCAGGAGCTCCGAATGAGAAGCCATGATGCGCACTGCGAAGAAGCATCATCTCTGTCGAAAAAACTTCTGAAATTCCCACTATGGCCTTACAAGTATATGTTCGACTGGTGCTCTGTGGCTAGCTGCGCCCGGCATCGGTCATGAACGCGCTGGAGACGAACGTTGATGCTACAAGGCGACGAGGACAAGGACGAGCTCCCCAACTGGCCCGCCCCGTGCAACAAGGGGCTCGTGGCTTCGAAGGCGATGTTTCTCACGCAGATGCTCGAGGACTTGATGCCTGCAGGCACAGGAGCAGTCCGAGCGCTCGCTCTCTCTCTCTCTCTCTCTCTCGCTCTCGCTCTCTCTCTCTCTCTCTCCCCCAGCTCTTCGCATGCCATACCAGCATTGCCAATGTATACACTGCAAAAAAACCTCAGAAGCAACATTACAAATAGGCAGCGCGGGTAGCTTACACCTCTCCAGCAAGGTGCCGGGATGATATGATCCATCTTGCTTGCAGTGCAAAACTCAGGGTCGACGCCTCTCTTTGCGAAGCTGTAAGGAGCAAGCGAAGATGCTCTCGATCCTCCCGCCCTCCAAGTCTCTGGCCTTGCTGCTTCGCCTTGGCACCCTGCTGGCCGCCCCGGGGAGTTTTGGTCCCCCGCCTCGAAGCTTCCAAAACTTCCGCTTTAAGCACACTCGCTCGGTAGAGGCTTGAAGGCCTGTAAAGGGTGAGGGTTTCGGGTTGGTTCGGGGCGTCAGGCGGAGGAGTTTAGGCTGTAGGGCTTTGCGCTTACGGCTTAGGTTGAAGGAGTAGGGGTTTAGGCAGGGTCGGGGCGAACAATAACCGAAGATGCCTCACTCTGCCTCACTGCTAAACGTGAAAGCTAACGCCACCAAGAGACAGAGCAACGGAAATTCAAACCAAGCACCCGAAGGTTTCCTGGACTTTCGCAACGGGGCTCCCGAAGACTCTTGAATGCTGCCTCGAGATGCCTGGCGGACCAGCGTTACAGTTTGAAGAGAACATCTGTGTCTAGGAAAATTGCGAATCTTGTGATCGCACATCTCGCATCGCTGTGGCATGCCA